CTGTCACATTTCTTTACAAAAACATTACCCATGTGTGTTTATTTGAGCCTGAACCTCCAGATGTGTGACTCGCGCCGTCTGGAAGTTGTAACAGAACAAAGCGGACAAAGTAAATGCAATAACTTACTCACATGACTTAAATTATTATTTCCATACCAAATATTTACACATGGCACCTTTGACCATCAGTGCATTACAGACAAAGTTATTGCATCTATATAATCATCTTAAACATAAAGCGGTGGGAAACCCCGCGATGGTTTGGATGAAAAGATGTGAACGTTGGTCGATCGGAAGACGTTCCCTGAGTCATAGGCCATGTCAGGTGCTGAAAATCTGCTATTTTAATCCTGGCAGGGATAAAAATCAAAACTTCCATTATGCGGAACGTGTTTACCTGAAGTTAATGATTTGGTTTACAGAAGAAACAGCTGGAAAGAGTGTAATCAGTCAGTTTGTTCAGTCAGCAAAAATTCTATATTAACTAACTGGATACATTTTATTGTTCTAGTGAAACTGGATGTAAAGTTATTACATATCAGCTAACAGACGAAGAGATTTGGATAGTGTTTTTTACTCCAAGGCCTTCTTTTGAAAATGACCAGAGAAAAATTGTGCCAAAACAATAAAACCACTGACAGCTGATGATGGGATGTACATAAACCATTTACAATGCAGCGATCTGCTGGGAAACCTAAGATTCTGGCTTTCATGTGGATCTTCATTAGAAAAGTAAGATAACAGGTAGACTCCTCGATGGCAGTGGGGACAATATGCCCATCTACACCGAAGCAACTACCTAAGAATATGATAAGGAGCTCAGATCATTGACTTAACCTCCAGACTCCCCACTCCCAGTCTAATCCAAGCATCCGTGGAGGCCTCACATTTAAAGGACAGAGCTCAAAAGAGCCACTGCCACTGTGTCTGAGCAAAGTGGATGTTATAGATATGAAACAAAACTAAGAATGAAGTTACCACACTGATGACATACAACTCCACTTAATAAACTCAAAGTAGATATTTATTTCATTGTTAATAATCACTTAAAAGCTGTTTTTTGACATCTTCAAAATGTTTTAGAACCAGGTCTCTGGTACCAGACATCCTGTCTCCATGCCCTCATGGGTTAGAGCTGTGTCCAAGTTTGGCAGATGGTTTTATTGTTGTGGGTGATTCATTGCGAATATAGTTTCATTTCAAAATCCTTTAAGTTTTATATAAAGAGCCTAAAAGTTATACAAATTACACATTTAATTTAATCCAATCTTTTGAAAGGTTCAGTATATAAACTGAAGGTTTATTCTTTGTTGAAGATTCCTGGAGTTGTGTATGGAAACCATCCTCACGCTTCTAACTTCCAGAAAGAGCTGAGCTCATCATAAAGTGGAAGGTTTGCATGTCTGAATCATCACCTGTATCAGTCTTGTGACAAGTAATAGACCATCAGCAAATAAGCTGATATTTACAGCTGGTGGTGGCTTCTGCTTCTTTGCTGTGTTTGACTAACTATGACAACAAATTTGGTTATTAAATGGCTGCGAACAGACAGCCACATAACGTCCACTTTGCGTATACCTAGCTTGTATTACCAGAACCTGTTTTTGTAAACATAACATATTTATGCCTTTTCTGAATACATTTACATCCACATTTATTGCAGGGTGGATTTATTTATCTGGACTACCTTTGTGTGGTTGTTTGCATAAATTTTATTTCTTCAGGACACGACCAAGCTGCAGGGTTTAGCATACAGATATGAAATCATCCTTTTCATCAAAATCTTTGCAAGAACATGCTCAGCTTTTTGCATTTAGTATTTTATTAATTTGGCGATGAGATGCATATTTATTTGTCCACAAATCTGTGGTAATTGCAAAGTTTCAAGTGATTAGATTTTCTTTTTTTAAAAAAAGGGTGAGGAGATGGACAAAAAGAGATGTTTGAGGTATCAAGATGACTGTGTTGGATGCATAATTGAAAGAAAAATGCTTCTCAACTATAGTTGATGTCTCCATCTTGCTAAATAAAGTTCTCTTTATTTCAGATACAGGCTTTCCTCCACGTTGACTGCGATGCAGTTCAATTCCCAGAAGGTCAAGGTAAGCCACGACCCCTGCTGGGGTCGTACTACCTGCAACCACAAGACTCCACCACCATATCCTCGTACTGCTTGTACACCACATTGTTTCCTGAGTCGATGTAGAGGATGCTGATGGGGCTGAGTTTGGATGGGGCGCAGCAGCTTGGAGGCATGTTGCTAGGGTTCATTGAATTCATCAGAGTCTGGATAATGGCGTGGTTGGTGGGCTCCAGGTGGGAGCGCAGGGGGAAGTCGCACACCCCCTCGCAGTGGTACGCCTCATAGTCCAGCGGGGCGATGATCCAGTCGTCCCAGCCCAGATCTCTGAAGTTCACATGCAGGGGTTTCTTGCTGCACCTGGATTTTGACTTCCTGCCATGTCGCTTCCCATGGCGGGTTTTGGATGCAGCAGTCCTGCGTCTCCTGCTGGCTTTAGTGCCAGGGCCCCTCTCTTTGGGGCTTTTCTCGAGGCCCAGTAAGGCTCTCCCCTCCCTCCTCTCGCTGAAGAGTGTCTGCTTCTTCTTTGACCTGGTGAAGACCACTAAGATGGCCTTCTTCTGCTGAGGCCTCCCATGTCGGTGCAGTCCCAGAAGATGCAGATCCAGCTCCCTCTCAGGATTGTCCAGCACGGCCCTGAGCTCCAGGCAGAAGTGCTTCCCCTGGCTCAGGTGTTGTCGCTCCTTGAATATCTCCCACACGTCCAGCACCTCCCACCTCGGCCTGTGGGAGCCCTGCAGGTCCAGTGTTTTGGAGTCGAGCAGCTGCTGGTCGTGGCAGGAGAGGAGCTGGATGTCGACAGGCTCTGTTTCCGACATCCTGAAATTCCCAGACGCTTTGGTGTAAATCCTGAGCTCGGCTCCCAGCACCTCCGCTTTTTCTGAGAGGGTTGAGACATCGAACAGATACTGTTGTCTCCTCAGAGGGGAGAGTGGGAGGTCATCTGTGGAAAGCATTAAAACAGCAGGGTCAGATGCCTTCTCACTGAGATGATCTACATACCACAAAGATGTGGAATCTGACAGATAAATATCCCAAATGCAGTCTGCACTGAATTAAACTGGGAGACAGAGTATGAGTCACAGGTGAACCAGCAATACTACCTACATGCACACACTCACACACGCGGCAGAGCTCCACATACCTTGTCCGCTGTCCACAAAACTTGCAATAGTGTTTGCAGCTTTTGAAGAACGGAAAAAGCTGGCATTGAGACCCAGCTTCTCCGCCGTGGAGAATGTCTTGTAAATAGACAACATGTAGTCATGCGGCTCAATTAAGTCTTTATGTGCTGCTTTGTTGTATCTGTCCTGTGAGGGTCGAGCGTAAAACTCCTTAAAATATTTAGACGCTTCTTGTGAATTAAAAATCTTCGCCGCTTTGCTGCTTTTCGGCGCAGCTGGAGGGAAAATAACGAGAGTCTGGAAACAGGGCATGCCCCACACGAACACAAGAGCCCCGCAAAGAAAAGAGAAGTGATAGAAATCCATCCTCTGCGCTCGTCCTGAGTCTGAGTCGGAGCCTGAGCTGTGGCCGGGGGGGGACCAGAGCTGGACTCTGCATCCGCTCCTGTGTGCAGCAAGTGGCTGCTCCGCAAAGTGCGCACAGCTCGGAGGGACAGGCGGCGCGCAGTTTAAAAAACACAGGAGGCGAGGACACGCCTACATTGTTCTAAAGGCTTAAAGGAGAGGGCAAATTAGGCTGTAAAGATAATTGTTCCTCTGACACCCCCCACCCTCCTCACGGAAAGACAGATGTGCGCTCAAAAGACTATGGTGCATGAAACTGCGCTGACTTTTCTCGCTCTCACCAAACCTGCTTAAATGGAATCGAAATTGATTTGATTTTCAGTTTTAAGCCTGAGTTTTGGAAGTTTCTCTGCAGAACGATTCCTGTAACGTTGCCTCGGTGCATTATTTCTTTAGTGTTTATTGTGGAGTGTAATGCCCTCTAGTGAAGCACAGAGATACTGCTTTGATGCGGAAGACGAAAGGCGCACAGAGGCAACGTCCTTCAGCACCGTGGACAGAGTCTGTGCTCAGCAGATAGAAATAATTATTATAATCCACACATTATTCAGATATCCTCATATTTGAGATTCATGACTAGAATAGACTCTAGAAAGAAAGACATAACTGCGTAACTATACTACACTTTTCTGCATGGTATGAAAAAAAGGCGTCACGATGCTGTTCATTATTTCTTTATTTCAGTTTTTTATTAATTTTGGGACATTAAAATTATTTATTCCAGCCCCTTCTAAAATGTCCTTAATGGTGGGAATATTTAAAGTTATATCCTCAGTAAAAAAAAAAAAAAAAATTGTATACACCCGTGGGGCTGAAAACACCTGAATTCGAAGATCAAGAGGCGTGGCCCAACGCTATGGTCCTTATAATTTGTTTACATTGTATCCATGGCGCAAATCTTAGCTCCATTACCTCACTGCTAAATCTTGGCCTTCACTATGGTTTCATGTTTACTGAAGCAGTTAAAATAATCAATAATCAAAAACAATTTCCAAGTGATTTGATTTTGTATGTTTTTGGATCTGCTGATTTCCCAAAGGTGCTGCTTGTAACACTCCATGTAAAGAGTCGTGGCAAAAGCCAATGTTCGTGAAAATTTGGACTCCATATACCTTTCTTTCCCCTCCAATCACATTCTCTTTGAGTAGATATAGGCTCCGTTTCAGTATGTTGCCTACAGCGCTGCAGTCTGGGCTTTTAATATTATGTTTTGGTATTTTTTTTTCTTTTAACAGTGAAAAGCCTCTATCCACTTTGCTGCCAGGGCAGACCAACGAGCTTTGTTTTTTAAAGCCCCAAAAACATGAGAAAAAAACAAGTCAAGAGACAGTGATGCAATAAAGATTCACTTAAAGATAAAAAATACAATTTATTGAAAAGAAAGTGTAGTTTCAAACAATCATTAACATGCAGAAAACTGCAAAATTTCTTGTTTTCCTTCAGCTGTTTGCAGTTTCAATTTCACTGCTGCACTTTTTAAAAGTAGAGGTAATCTATTTGGACCTCACACCCATATTAAATCTTACACAAAACACAATGAAAGAACCCAAAAACTAACAGAAATTAACATCTAATGCACAAAATCATTCAAAAAAAGCTTTACTTTTACCTCATGAAATAGTAAAAATAATTATTTGTTGTTGTATTCTTCATAAATCCCTTTTACCTGAGAAGATTTTTGTTCTAATGGATATTGATTTGAAGGCTATAAGCAATGGAAAAATATACCACTTGCAATAAACTTTCAACAAGAGGTTAGTTTTTGTCCTTCATGTTAACGTGACTTTACATTATCCTTCATAAAGCGGGCTGAGCTCTTCTAACCTATGGGGACAGCATCGGAGCAGCAGGCCACGGTGTAGATAACGCTAGCCAGGCACAGAGCGCCAGCAGAAGCAGTGGTGCCAGAGCCGAAGATGCTGTCGTCGGTGACCTGACCAGTGGTCGTGGTAGGTGTCGGCTCTGTAATGTTGCTGCTGGTCGTCGGGATCTGGGTGGTGGGAGTGTTTTTAATGGAGAAGGCTCTTGATGTGGTGCCCCAGTCCTTCAAAGTGAAGACCATTGTCAGGTTCTCACCTGCAGATGAAGAACAGATACTTATACGCCTAATCGGATCAGTTTCTGCTTTCATAAATAATGCTTGATATTTATTTTATGCACATATTGGTTTTGTAATTTTTTTATCATGCTCTGGATGAATGCACTGCACCAGCTTTTTTCAATCTGCCAGTTTTCAAACGTTATTTAGGTTCAGGTGAGGATGTGTGAACGCACCGCTGTTAACAATGGACAGGTCGCTGAAGTTGGCCCAGCAGGTTCTGAACAGGATGGTTGTGTTTCCTTCAAGCCCACCAACGCTGTTTCCATCGGAGTCCTTCAGGCTGGCTGTAACCATGAGAGTCGTCACTCCCACGGAGACGCAGTTTCCCTGCACACATTAACAAAGGTCAGTGTGAATGGACACACACACACACAAGGGACGAATATAGAAAACAGACTTAAGCCTTGATTATATTCCATTGTGGACACAAACAGCTCGAGACCCGATGGCTAAGAGGGTCATTCCTGTTATACGTATTCAACTTATTCAAAGTCTGCTGGAAATGTGCCACCTATGGTGCAGGGGTAGCTAGTGCACCGTGACGTAAACTTCCCCCAAACAAGGCAGTGTGGTCATAAAACCATGCAGGCACATCGACGTTCGCATAGACCGTTGTGCTCACTGTCTGATGAAATTTATAAATAATGACTGCCATTAAAGAAAGTCCAGATTATCCACTCAGGTAAAATTGTTGATTTTCACGCATAAATGTCCCAAAAATGTTCCTTATTTTTACTCTAATAATTCATTCGAGTCCACTCCACATTTACAGTGAATGATAGCTAAGTCTAGACAACAAATTTTATATTGGATTGAGGAAAAACAAAAGAATCATGGTAACTTTGAGAAATGTACATTTCTAGAATACCAGATGAGTCATACTCAGTCCTACTAAAACGATCCTAAATATAAAATAATCCAACCCTGGTCTAGAACTGAAGAAGCTTCTCGGACGCTTTTCTTTGCAAGCTCCTTTGAATGAGTTAGTACTGAATGAATTAAATAAAAGGTAGAAGGGGATGAACTGGTTGAAATGAAAGATCATCTAATAATACAAAAATTAGATAAACCAACGCTGCCCTCACATCCTTCCCAAAACATCAGCTTTAACACTGGCTGTGCGGTAACACATTTCGAGCTGCCTCACCTCTGCATCCACAGCCATCAGACTGGGCTGCTGGTAAAGAGGACCTACAAACTCCCCGGCTATCGGCTCCTCGATCAGCAGCAGGCGGTCCACGCCGGACACGTAATTCACGGTAGGTTCCTCTCTCGTTACTTCCTCTGTCGCCACCTGAGGTTAAAAGGAGGAAATCACCATGTACATATGAGACATTTCATCACACACGTAATGTATTTTTATCATCTTAATATCGAAACAGCTGTTATAGTGTCTACAGAGCAGATGTTATTCTGCTTCACCCCATTCCAGCTGGGGTCTGAGGATGGAGGAGGAGGTGGGACCATGCCAATGGAGGAGACGTTAAAACCGATGGACTGACTGAGGTTTCCGGTCACTGCTGCCTGACCCAGTTCATCAGCGATGTTCTTCAGCAGTGTAAAGTCCTCGTCATCTGAGACTACACAGGCAGGAAAGATGATGATTAACTGGACAGATTAGACCCTAATGAGCAATAACGTGACACTTTTCCTTCTTCCTAACCGTTGGTGCTGTTTGTGGTTTGCTGGACAGGAGGCTTTTTGATCTCCACCTCCACCGTCAGGCCCGTGGATCTCTTCCTGCGACGCGCGCCTCCGTTCTCCCTGATGATCTTGGAGATGCGGATCATGTTGGGAGGAACTTTGAGGAACAAGGCGAGGTTCTGGACCAGGCTGCTGCCATAGAACTCCTCCTCGGTCATTGCGGGGAACCCGAAGGCGATGACGAGAACCGGGGAAGTACGGATCTCCACTGGTTGAGAGCCTCTCAGCACGACCTTCAGCATCTTATAGTCCTGGTCAAAGTAGTTTGTGCCCACTGTGGCATTTAGCTCGGGGACGTACTGACCTGGAGTGATTAAACACAGAAAATCTTAGATCATCATCTTCAGATATAATTCATACATGACAAAGACAGGTCCTTGTTACATTTCCTGTTGATTTGATTAATATTTGTGGTGATTATTTGCACAAGACGAGAAATTAAGAATGCAGATACTTTAAACTAAGACAAAAGGTAAAAAAAATATGTATTCATCTAAAGCATAAAAGGGTGGAAAACCACATTTAACAAAACAAACATAAAGGGCTACGTGACATTAGCCTGCTATCTTCTATAAAAATGGCTGGCGTCCACTAGATTCTGAAAGACGTCTTAGAGCCAGTTGATGAACCTGATGTACTTTTCTCTTCTCTCCGCTGGACATTGTTGGGGAAAACATGGTACAGAAAAACTCACATTACTTCTTTGTTGTAGAGAATCAAGTTATTTAGTTACTTTAGTTACCAAGTCAAACCTTGATCAGGGTTTGGGATCATAGTTTGTTTGTTTTTTTGTTTTTTCATTTGCTTGTTTTTTGTTGTTGGATTTTTTTTTTGCATTAATATTTGGGTTCTCAGATGGGTTTCGTTGTTTTCATTTTGACTTTTATTTTGGTTATTGTCTTTATAGTTATTTTCTTTATTCTTTTATGAAGCAGGTATTTCCTGGTCGCTTTTTTTTAACAAATATATTCTCAGTTTTAGTTATTGCTACTTTTTCAAGTCTAGTTTTAGCTTGTGTGCACCTTATATTTACTTCCATCCTCCCTCCCCCGTGTTCCT